AGCAATCCGAGTCCCCTCTCCCTCCTATCCTCCTGCTCCCCCCACCTTCTCCCCACCCCACCCTCCATCCACTCCTCAGAGAGGGTGAGACCGCCCATGGTCTGTCATATCACTCGAGGAAGGACTGTACTCTGGGAGTTCAACGCAATGCTTAGCTGTAGATCTCCACATCTGCCTCAGTCAGTTACGGAATGAAGGTTCTGTGATGACAATTACAGGGGAGGCATGGTTAAAGTATCCTCTCCACTATTGGTTAGATTCTTAGTAGGGCCATCCTTGTGGATTCCTGGGAATTTTCCTAATGCCAGGTTTCTGGATAACCCCATAATGGCTCCCTCTATCAAGGTATGTGTTTTCTTGCTCTACTCTGTTCTTCCCCCAATGTGACCTTCCTGATCCCTCAAGTTCTCCTCTCCCACCCTCTACACCCCTTCCTCTCTCCTCTCCCCAAGCTCCCAATTTACTCAGGAGATTTTATCTATTTCCCCTCAAGATACATTTCTTAAAGGTAATACAATAGAAGTCATTAACTAACCACTCTTTAGAAAACACATTTTGAGATATAATTATATCTTATTCTACATCTAATTCTACAGTTTCTTATTATAATGTAAATAGTCCCTAATATCCACTTCACTTAAATTTTACTTCCATAATAGAGCTTTAGAAGACTTGAAGTCTTCATTTGATTTGATGCACTACACATTATTGTTTAGGAAAGCATGATCGCATCCTACTTTCAAATACAAGGATTTTAATATATGTTTTACTTGGTTGTTCAAAGCATAACTGTTTTATTTAAGAAATGTATATTCAGAGGCTGGAGTGATGGTCCAGAGGTTAAAAGCACCAGCTGCTCTTCCAGAAGATCCAGGTTCGATTACAAGCACCAATGTGGTTATCTACAAAACAATCTAGATCTAAGGGTTCCAACACCTACTACTGAGTTCCACACCCACCCCAAACACATACAATGAGCAAACATACATACTGGCTAAGTGTCTGTAAAATACAACAGAATACATTTAAAAAAATTATATGTCCAAATAACATGGTTTATTTGACTGAGAAAATAGAAATCTTTGATAGTTCAAATTATTCTTCTATTTACCTTAAATTGTTACTTTCATCTAAAATATAAAACTTCATATTTCAATATTCTCTTTAAATAACTGACCTTTCCCAAAAATCCAGTCATCACTTTACAGCAAAGTAACATACCTTTTTGTAGTTAAGGATATTAATGAGCATATTTAAAGTGTGCATAAGAGTTTTCCACCTCATGTATAATGCCACTGTAATGTAGGTGACACAACCTCAGAAGAAAAAAAAAATAGTGGCCAACCTGTTTGTTTCATTACAAAGAGAAATTTAATTGAGTAATTATTTTAATGATGAAATCTTATTTTAAATATGTTTAGCCAAACCACACATATAAGACAGTACCCCAAGTAAGATTTTTGTATCTCTGCAATGTTTGACATTAACAGAAACTATAAATATATTCATAAGTCCAGCATTTTTAGAATATCCACAGTTTGCTCTGCAGATTAACAGTCTAGGAAATTTAACCAGTAGTTTTATGTTTGTGAAAACTTCATCACAACTTACTTTATAGTCCAGCAACCAGGTAGTCCCTGGCCTTTTAACTGGCAAATTCATTCTCTTTTAAAAAAATCCAAAATAATCTCTAAGAAAAACAAACAAACAAACAAACAAACAAACAAGCACCACCACCAAGGGAACCAGAATGATTACTCTAATGAGAATCTTATTGGGTAGCTTGGTCAATGCAGACAAACTGCATTTTCCCACAGGAAACCAGTAGGCGGTGCCAACTCTAGTTAGATCACCTGGGGCAGCTTTAAAGCCTCAAACTCCAGCACAGGTGAACAACTTAAGGAGCTGCAGAATTTTGACTTAGTTAGTGGAGTCTGGGATTAGGATGATTTGAAAGTCACAGACAGAAATTTAAAGTAAGCATTGGATGTAATGAAAGAATCAACACTAAATGAAAGCAAAAAAAACAAAAGCCATGGTCTTTTACTTAGAGGGTTCCATCAGAAACTCCCTTCTTATCTGATGACAAGTGTTGGTCTCTGATTTCAGTCATGTGGAAACAATACAGAACTCCTAATTGTTCAATCTCTGGGGAGAACATGCTGAAGTTGAGATAAAACCCGCCTGTTAATGGACACTCAGGTTTTCTCATACAACCGATTTCTTTCCTCCTTGCTCTGTCTCTGTTTTGTTTTGATTTTCAGAGAACTACAAAATTTATCATGCATTTGACCTACAGAAAGGAATATTCACATACATCATTATACATAAACATTCTACATATATAAAACAACATGACTTTTATTTAAAAAAATTTTTTTAAACTCCATAGGGTATTGTAAATGACTTTTAAAAGTGTTTTGCTTGCTGTCTGAACCATAGGAAAGGCAGTATTTGAGCAATGACCTCACTGTATGAAAGAAGAAATTCTATATTTAGGCTTAGAGTCATAATATGAGTATCAAATTTTTAGAACTATTTACTTCAAGCAATAAAGACTGCCATTTACAGATAATAAAACCATCTTTTCCTCGTTCAAAGATGCAATGAAACTTCTTAATAACAAACTGGCTGAGCACATAATAAAATGATAAGTAAGTAGATGAATAAATAAATAAATAAATAAATAAAAATAAGCAAACACACATGCATGCAACTTGCAAGGATCTTAAGAGTTATACCAATGTGGTACAAGTATGCATAACTTCCTGGATATTACAGTGCATTTTAAACTTCCTTTGCAGTCTTTATTCTTTTACTGCAAAGCATAAAACACAACACTTTTCACGGCACAAGCTGTGCATACAGATTCACTGAAACGTTCACTTGAAAATCCCATAGACTGAGTTATTTATCCTTTGGCTACAGGTCCTTCTGTTCTCTGTTTGTTTGTGTGGGATTTTTTTTTTTTTTTTTCGATAACCTAGAAGAAAACTTAGTGAGGTAGAAAGTAATTTCACTTTTTATTTTACCGTAACCCAAAGAGTGTGCACGAGAAATTTAACATGGAACTTCTCATTTATGGTGAGAAAAAAGAAGAAAATGAAATGTTCAAAATCAAACTATTAAAAATATTAACAATTCCTCTCCAGATTTTAAGATTCGGTCTGTCTTTCCTAGGTTTACTTGGGGATAGATTCTCTTAGAGTGACAAGTAGAGCAAAGACTTTTTTATATTGCCAGGCAATGCAATAGTAATGAAAAGTATTGCTGGGTTTACTACATGCATGCAACTAGACACCCAAACACTATCAAAGGGGTTCAAGCCTGACTGCTTTAGCACCAACAGCAGTGGCCACCTTCAGCAACCCTTTGCCCTACCTACCCTGTCCTCTGGCCTGGGGGGGGGGGTCTGTACAACCAGTATCCGGTGGTTAAGAAGAGAGAAACATTGCCTCCTTAAAATTAAGAAAAGCTAATTCTGTACCTCGTGGGCGTTGTCTCATTAAACCCAAGTGAGCACCAGTACAAGTGGCCATTCCCTCTCCTCGGACACCACCAGCAAGGGCTTAAAACCAACGCAACAGCTCCGGGAAAGCATGAGGAAGGCAACACTGGAGAAGGTAAAGCCACCGGAGGCACTGGAGGGGAAGAACCCACCGCACTGCTCACGCGGGGCGCAGAGGCGAGAGTGAGGCGCTGACAGACCGCTGCCATCCTAGAAACCTCCAGCTCCCGCTGCCTGGCCAGCAGCCAGCTCCCCGGCGCCGCCCCTTCACCTCTCCATCTCCCGCGCCTGGAGGGACCGATCGCCCCGCCGCCAGGGCCCCCCGCCGGCTCCTTGCTTCCGGCGGCTTTGCGGGTGGCTCGGGCCAACTTGCCGGACTGGCCGGGGCGCCGTGGCCCCGCCGCCACCACAACCAAGGCGCCTCTGGGGAGAGGGTTGCGCGCACCTTCAGAACAATCCAGGCCGGGAGAGCACTTTGGTTCTGGCTCCCGGCGTTGCTTTCCCCATCGCCGGCTAGGACACAGCCCGGAACCGGCGCGCACACGCGCACACACGCACACACACGCGCGCACACAGACTTCTTGGCCAGCGTTGCCATCACACACCCGGGGAACGCCACGGAGGGGGCCAAGTACCTGCTCTCTGCGAGCTGTTGTGCTGTTCACTTCGTCCTCCGTTGACAAGGAAACCAAACCGCACTTCATTTTTTTTTTTTTTTTCCAGAAAAACCTTCCACTGCCACCATTTGAAAATTGATTTACGGGGAGGGGAGAAGGAGGAAGAAGGGATAATGATATAGATATCAGGATATCTATCATAAAATTATCTCGGTTTTTTTTTTAAATAAAAAAGTCAAGTGTGCAAAAGTCATAGTTAATGTAAAGGAGGGGGGAAAAAGCATTTGCTTAAAAATAATCCCATTAACTAGCTGCAAGAAAAGTTTCATGTTATCAACTGATATCAAAAACATGAGGGGAAAAAACGAAATATTTTTTCACAGGCTTCCAAAAAGGTCATAAAAATGCAAAATTAATGTCTGCTCAGTGGTGCGCACCGAATTGCAAGACGACAAACTTGTGAACACTGCCGGAAAATCCCACCTACACAAAAATGTAATCGGAAAAAGAGTATATAAAAAAAAAGAGTTAGGAACATGCTTTCTTATCTTTACAAAGGGAAAAAAAATAGGCACCATACTTCACCACGCTTTTCCCATAAAACCAGTTGCACATTTTGCTGGACTTGGGAGCCGCTCGCAGCGGGCACCGCTACGGCGGACTCCCAGACACAGCGCCTTGTCTAGAGAACCATCGCATGCTAGGAAAACTTGATTCAGGAAAAGGCTTAAGACCATGCTCGTCAGCTTTCCCAAATACAAACAATAATCAAAGAAGTGGGAAGAAAAAACAAAAATGAAGAAAAAAACAAAAACAAAAAAGGACAAAAAAAAAAAAAAGAATAGGACAAGAATGCCACTGAGAAGGGTACTCACCGAGCGGGAGTAAAATGTTGGAATAAAAATGAGATTTAGGAAAATACAGTATGGCGGTGAAAGAAGGAATGGAGCGCGTTTTTTTCTCAGTCTCTGCCTCGGGCACTGACACGTGACTCGGAGCCAGGCGGACTTGACTTGCAGGCGGCGGGGCTGCCGCGGCTGCTGGGCGACCTCGGAGCCTTCGAAGCCCTCGGAGCCGCTCCGGCGGGCACGGCGGTGGGAGCCCCCGGCGAGGCGGCCTCCTCGGCGGGCGAGCCGGGACTAGCAGGTGCCGCTCACGCTGGGCTGAGCGCACGCACACGCACACGCAGACGGGCAGGGCGCGGGCTAGCTGGGACCGCGCGGGGCGGGCCGGAGGCGCGCAGCCGCCGCCGCCGCTACTGCTACCGCTGGTACCGCGGCTGGTGCTGATGCTGCGGGCGCTCCGCCAAAAAGGGCAGCTCAGGGGTGTTGAGCAGAGGCCTTACAGGGCACGCAACTTGCTCTCCACTGCAAAGTTGCCGCTTGCCACTTCCTTATTTTCCGGCTTCCATCTGCAGGTAGTTTCCTGCGGAGAGCTCCCGTCCTTTCCTCTCCCCCCCCAAGTTTCACTCTTCAAGCCCGGTTTAAAACTGGGCTCGTTTTATTCTTTTGATCTCGAAGTTCCTATTTCTTCTAAACTGCGTTGCCTAAGCCACTTCCTCCCCCTAGGTCTGTTTTCCACCTTGTGGTTCTCAGAGAACCTGGATTCGTGCTACGCGATGCGGGGGGCGTTGTCGCTGCAAAGCCAACGTCAATTCCTTTGACTATCTTGGGGTATTCCCCATTTGAGAGAGGAAAACAAGAATCTTTTATTTGGAAAAATCCCATCCCTGGTTTTCTTTTGCTTGGTGCATGGTGCTGGGCGGGGGCGTGGACGTGCATAATTTATTCTTTCCTGGGCCAGGCATTGTTTGTTTTGTCTGCGTGTACATCAGCTTCGACCTGTCTGGAAGGCTCTTCGGGTCCGTGCTCCAGGCAGGGTCCTTCCTGACTCCTGCAAGTTGTTTTCTCAGGCTGCAAGTCCACAGAGAGGAGCATAGGAAACAAGTGAGTCCATTGTGTGAGTGCTTGCCCGGCGGCAGGCACCTGGCGGATGGTCGAGAGGGGGAGATGTGCTCCACTCACCAGAAGGCAGCCCAGGCTCAGGCAAGAGCCAGGCGACTGACTGAGCAGTGCTTTGGAAGGTGGAGGCAAAACAGGGAGTTCACCCAGCATCTGCTGCGGGATGCCTGTCGCTGGAACAAAGATTCCACCAACCAATCACTGACAGCTTTGGGATTCTTCTGCTGCTGCCTGTTGCAGAATCAGCTTTCCGGGCTCTGCAACGCATTAATTTTTCTTCATCTTTCATGCAATATCCATATCAAAACCATTTCTCTGGGTTGCTTTGGATCTGGATTTCACAAAATTAATTGCCGCGTCTGTGTTTTAAAATGAAAATAAATACAGTTTCTTGGCTCCCACATGTCTGCTCTGATCTTTATCTCAGTCTTCCCAAGGTTGATGTTTAAGATAAAATGTCTGCATAGGAAGGAATCTAGCCTGGACAGTTTTGACATTTAAGTGTGCTTTCATTATGGAGAGCCTAGCAGCAAATGCTTCTCCAATGTTCTGGGCAGAATTCATTGATCAAATAAAGTATTAATCCACAATTTAAACAAAAGATATTTAAGATAGCCATTAAAATCATTAAATATTTATCTTGGTAAATTGCCAACTGGACCCACTTATTACACACACTTTCTAGAGAGGGTTTGAAATGATGACAGGGACAGATGGGTATATCAGAGTGGATTCCAGACTATCCAAAGCCTAAGCTCTGAGCAGGAGATCCTGGATTTTCTTCTGAAGAATGCAGAACAAATGTGGCTTGTGCTGAGACCATGTTCATCTTCTTTTTGTTTGTTTGTTTTGTTGTTGTTGTTTGTTTTGTTTTATTTTGTGTTGTTTAGTAGATCCCTTCAAATGTGGCTCTTTTCTTCAATGCCTCATGAATTATGCTATCCCAACTTGAGCTTGAGTTTGTTAAGTTTTCTACCACTTCAAAACACCCAGATCCAAATACATGGAAGAGAAGTCAATTCGAATGCATATATTTTCCCCTTCACAGAGATACTGGAATGTGAGCAATTTCACTTTAAAAATGAGTTTTGGAGCTTCAGATCAGGCCAGGCAGTGCCTGGCTTTGGAGAGAGTTATTCAAGAAGAACTTTGCAAAAAACAAGCTGTTTAGAATTGCACTGCAGTAATGGCCTCCAGCCAATCACAGTGATTGTCAGGCTTTTATTATTCAATAAAATGACTCCCCTTTATGTTTAATGCAGCTCTGCTGAGGAAAAGCAAGCCATCAATAACCTCCTTGTACTTCTCCCATTTACTTACATAATTGCAGACCAGTGCTTAAAGCATTCCACTACTACTTACTTCCAAGATGCCATTCTCCCTTCTTAGGCTGCACCACCTTTAAAACAAGAGTAAACTAGTGAGGCTGTTGGATCAGCATTTACAAAGCAAAGGCTGCTGTTTAATTCCTCTACAGCTCCGTGGCATAGGCATCATTAACTTCATTTTAAAGATTTAAGTAACCAAAGTCAGAGTTTAAACTCATCTGTGCAAGATTCTACTGTCACAGCACAGAAGAAATAAGATGAGACCGTACTTGAATCTGGTTTTACAGTTAGGATAGGATACTTCAAAAACTAGAGGAAGGAAATGAACTCTCAAGAGCTGTTGTTGATATCAACAAAAACATTTTGTTTTTTTTTTAAATTTGCTATATCCAAAGGATATTTGTGGAATTAACTGAGCTGTATTGTGCACTCCCCCAAAAACAGTTGTGGCACATATATAATTTTACTGATATTTCGATTCCATTAAACAGGAAAAGAAGGAAGCAAACACTTAAAACATAATGAAACACAGATAGAGTTCAAGAAGAAAAAAAGTACAAGTGAAACAGGTTTTAAAGTGAAGAAAATAAACCTTTAAGTTCTCTAAGCAAAAAGCAAACGAAAAGGAATTCTGCTAAAGATGTGGCTGTGTCATCATGTTCTGATCACGTCTTCAACAGTTAACCATAGGAGCTTTCTGAAGGTTTGAATAGACGAATGACTCTACTGATTGTCCTTTGAAGCCAGCCATGGACCACATGCAAATATGAAGTCATTAAACATAAGATGAGACCACTAGAGGATGATGCAAGAGGAAAAGTCTATTTAGAATGCTATGCTTTGCAATTTCAACTTCTTTGTCAGAAAACGTTCATGACATATGAAATATTTATGGGCACAAGCAAATGAATATATACTTAGTTGGAAATTGCGTACTATATAGTAACATGGCTTTAAATAGATATTCTTATATTCAGAGCCATTAAGTAATTTTTTAAAAAGAAAACAATCTGAGTGATAATTTTCACAATTGATTTCTTTTTGGTATTTTCCTTTATTGTTTATTCTATTCCTACAAATCGATATTCGTTTCAACTTTGGTGGTGATTTGTATGTTTCCCAATATTCCTGTCTAGAAGAACTACAATACCAATAGCAAAACAAACAAACAAACAAACAAACAAACAACAACAAAAAAAAACAAATAAATAAAAAAAATAAAAAAAATCATGAAAAGTGTGTCCCTGTTGACCAAGATGACCGGGTGATATGAATATATACATAATGCATAATACAGTATGAGTACTCTGTGTACAGAAAGCCTCAGTAGAGAAAGACAGGGAAAGTATCAGGATTTATGTATAACTTAGGGGCAAGTATCTTACTCTTCACATAGAATACTTCATAGAATTAAAAATCATTCAGATATATAGATAAATAACCAAATTATTAATATTTATGTATTTACATATTAAATGAGTCAGTATGTCTATTGCTAAAAATGTACATAGAGAAAAAATTAACATTTATACTTATATCGTTTCTTGAATGTATTTGCTCTAATGCCATACTTTGAGTGCAGTTATTTTATAAAGTGACCTACACAGTAGAAGTATATACACAAAAATGCTCTGATGGCTTCTTCATTCGTAGGCTTGAAGGAGATCAGGACACAACCAGCACTGATCACTGACCTAAGAGTTACTCACTCTGATGCGGATATAAAATGTGTCACTTTATACATTTAGAAACTGGGAATTTTTCCAAGAAAATTCTTTAGATTTGTTTTTTCCAGTGAAAATGTGGCTGGCTGTCTTCAGGCTACACATAGACATATAAAAAAAGTTCTAAATGTTAAGAATATTAAGCTAATTTAAAAATGCTTTAGTACGAATTAAGATAAGCAAATGAGAGGCCTTCAGGGATCAAAGAGATGGGGAATTTATTTGGGGCAAAAGAAAATATAATTGAGAAAGCTCATTAGGAAAACCACCCACAACTCAGTATTTCATTTTATTTTTCTGGTGTATCAAGAAATCCTATGGGCTGAGTGTGGTGGTACATCTTTTTAATCCTATGGCTCGAAGGCAGAGGCAGGAAGATCTCTGTGAATTTGAGGCTTGCCTGGTTTACAGAAGGAGTTCTGGGACAGCTTGGGCAACATGGTCATACCTTTGCAGAGAGAGAGAGAGAGAGAGAGAGAGAGAGAGAGAGAGAGAGAGAGAGAGAGAGAGAGAGAGAGAGAGAGAGAGAGAATGTTTATAACCAGAAACTGAAGTTCTGCAGGACTTCTAAGACCACCAGACAATTTTTTTTTTTTTAAAGTAAGTATTTCCTTTGAAAAAGTTAAGTCAGAGGCTTATATATTCAGGAGAGCAAACCACTAACTGCTTGGAGAGTTCATAGCTGAAGTGTAAACACTGTGGTAGTTAAGTTTTATGTGCACTCATTTCACCCCACAGATGAAAACAGTGAGACTCGGCGACATAGAATGACCCAGGGACCAGGAAGCATTGGAGCACAGGCTCCAATCTGCAGGGCGGTACAATCCAGTGGTTTACAGGAAACTCTGGATCCCACCCTTTGTATCTATCGGCATCATGATGAATGCAGATTCATCTCTCTGTGCTTCAGGTCCCCCCTCATCCGGTAAATAGAAATGATAAAACTAGGTACGGAACGCCGTGAAGTTAGTGTGTGCAGAGTGCCCTCAACAGCTCCAGGAAGAGA